AGACAGACAGACAGACAGACAGACAGACAGATAGACAGACAGACAGACAGACAGACAGACAGACAGATAGACAGACAGACAGATAGATAGACAGGGAGATCGTTTGACAGACAAATAGAACAATAGACAAACAAATATAATGATAAACTGAACCATAGATAGATAAACAGACAGATAAAACGGCAGAGAGATAAACAGAATGATAAACAGAACGACAGACTGAGAGATAGAATGAGAGACAGATAGCTGTAGAAAACAAGTTTTGGTCTCGGGTTTTGGACTTTGTGAAAAAACAAGTCAGTAAAACATCACTATGTTGACTTTATGAATATAATAATGATAATTCTCATCTGAGGAAACTGTCTGACCTTCAGCGCGTCCAGAAGCCCGCGGCTCCTGAAGGTCTGATAGAGCTTCTGTCGCATCTCATCCGGAGACAAACTCTGCTCTTCACTCCCAGACATCATCATTCACCGATAAACACGATCATTCACCGATAATCGATCGACTTTCACCGAATTAATCGATCAGTGATGCGCCACGGTCCGTTCCTTAGCAACGCGCGCCGCAGCGCTTTAAAAATCCTAACTGACAACAGACTGTTGTGTTTCCGGATTTGTCGTTATGACGTAAGCTCTCTCTCAGCTCTCCCATTGGCTGTTTTGTGTCAGCTGAGTCAACGCACCGGAAACGGGAACTCTTGATCGCGTTGATCCTCATCTGCTGTAGTTCAGTTTACGTTTAATTATTTTCCACAATATTCGCTTTGTGACTTACATAATTAGTTATTTATTTAAAGGAGGTGTTTTTAGAATGGGTTATAATTTCTGAACAAACGCCAAACTGAAGTCATACTTGCTGTGGTGAGATGTGTTTACATGTGCATCAGTGTTTATGTACTATAATATTCAATAACTGACTGCTGGCTTCATGTTTACAGCTCTAAACTCTGATTATTAACCATGTCGGGGAGTTTTTATTTCGTTATGGTGGGTCACCATGATAACCCAGTGTTTGAGATGGAGTTTCTCCCTCCTGGAAAGGCAGAAGCAAAGGTGAGCATAATATTAATGATGATATTACAGTGACAGTAATGATCTGATGCTGATGCTTGTGTTTATGATTATGCAGGATGACCACAGACACCTGAACCAGTTCATCGCTCACGCTGCTCTGGATCTGGTGGATGAGAACATGTGGCAGTCCAGCAACATGTACCTGAAGACTGTGGACAAATTCAACGAGTGGTTTGTCTCTGCCTTCGTCACAGCTGCTCATATCCTTCTCACACTCACCGTCAGCCATATGCTTTATTAAACAGTACAATAAATCAGTTTTTATTTTTGTCATTTCCATTTTAATTTTAGTATATATAATATTTTAAATTTAGATTTTTATACATTTAAATTAGATTTTAATATATATATATATATATATATATATGTATGTATATGCATGTATGTATGTATAATATGTATGTATATATATATATGTGTGTATATATATGATTTTATTAATTTAATTTTTTTAATTTTAGTTATTTCAGTACATTGATTTCAACTAGATTCAGTTAAATGTCTTTTTTTATAAATGGTGAATTGTTATATTTTATTTCAAGTAACAGTTTTAGTTAACTATAATAACTTAATTTCCATTTTATTTTTAGTATATATAATATTTTAGTATATTTGATATGATTTTAAATTTGATTTTAATATTTTATATATATATATATATGTGTGTGTGTGTGTGTGTGTGTGTGTGTGTGTGTATATATGTGTGTGTGTATATATATTAGATTTTAATTTTAGTTATTTCAGTAAATTGATTTCAACTAGATTCAGTTAAATATATTTTTTTATAAATGGTAAATGGTTATATTTTATTTCAAGTAACAGTTTTAGTTTTAGTTAACTATAATAACTTATTTTCTATATAGACATTTAAAAAAAACAAAACTGTATAAAGCTTTGAAAATCTGAAAAATTCTACGTTGCATTGTTTTTATAAAAACTTAAAATCATATTTTCAATTAATTTTATATTTATTTGCAATTTTGTATAACGAAGTATCCCAGGTAGTGCCATCATAACCATCCGATTTTTATTCCAAGGCTGATAAATGTTTAGCACAGATAAAAAAATGATGTAAATAAGTTTCACGTTGAAGAATCACCCATATTTAACAGACCTATTGCATGTATTAAATGTGTTATGTAAAAAAACACTAGCTTCTCTAATCTTTTTGTATTGTTTTTTTTTTAATTATTATACAATAAACAAAAGCAAAAAAGGCCTCTAACACTAGCTTGCTCTATTCTTTTTCAATTCTCTGTTTTCTTATTATTTATTATATAATAATAATAAAAAACCTTGCTATGTGTACTGCGTTAAGCTAACTGAGACTTGTTATAGCACTTGCACATCATTGCTCTTTTGTTGATTTTGATTGCTTCTGTTGTCCTCATTTGTAAGTCACTTTGGATAAAAGCATCGGCTAAATGTCTAACTGTAGATGTATTATTCCTTAACTCTCTTGCATACATATGAGATTTATTATGCTTCATGATGTTCGGCAGGAGGACGGAATCAAGAACTTCTTTAATGATGTTTATGATCTGTACATCAAGGTAAAATCCGTATTATTCTGTAGTGATATTTCAGTGTCATATAAATGCATAGCATTTTTTTTAAAACATTTTTGTGTTTTTACCCAGTTTGCAATGAATCCCTTCTACGAAGCCAACGCACCGATTCGCTCCACAGCTTTCGACAGGAAAGTGCAGTTTCTTGGGAAGAAGCATCTGCTCAGTTGATTCATTTTACTGAATGTTTTTTGCGTTTTTGTTGTCGTGCATAAATATACAGGTGTGCTGTTAATGTTTCAGTTGTTTATACTCATCATTGCCTGCTTATATTCACACTCTTACCTACTACTGTACAACAAATGAAGCGTGATTACAGATTATTTTTAAAGCATAAAACAGGAATGCAAAAATACATTTACACACTAAACCTTTCAAATGCAACAACTATTACCTATGGTCCGCCGCATGATGCTTTTGTACAATACTGTACTAATAACCTTAAATCAAATAAACAATTTCATCCACTACTGTTCAATACTTCTTTAATTTCAATATAACAATGTACAATATTGAGATTTTAGTGCTTCTTTTCAAAGTGCGTGCTTAGACACTTCACCTCATCCATATTTTTACATAAGTACTGTGTATATATTTGGCACTCTCTACATAATTATGTTAATATATATTAGAAATCAGCCACAGTGTATGAACGCCTGTCCTGCATAAGTTAATCATAGTTATAGGAAAAGAAAATCACATAAATAACGAAAATCAGCATTTTCGTCTTGTTTTCCAGTAAAAATATATGAACATCCTTAAAACAAGAAGCATTTACTTAAGAATCAAACAGCATGTGACAGACTTGTGCATTTTAAAATAAGATTTTTTACTAAAAAAAAAAAAAAGATTTGCCTATGAGGTAAGACGAATAAATTCAATATATGTAAGGTGAAAAAGGTGCTGTTATCTTACACAGCTGTGCTTCTCAAGTAAACGTTTAGATATTTTTAATGGAAAACAAGACAGGTTTTTGCAGTGCATTTATTGCATTTGCTCTTCACTATTTGACTGCCATGCAAGACAAAATGATATCCGTCTATCTATGCAATAACCTGCTCAAATCCCACAAGACAGATTTATATATATATATATAAGACATCTGATTGCACAGAATCATTTAAATTCAGGCATTTCAATTCAGATACAAGAACGTCACCCAATGAAAGCAACCCAGTTTTTAGTAGTAAGTGCATATATTCCAGTAAGTGCATGTTCAAATATAATGCAGATGCTTCACTCAAGGACCATTAAATAGCTAATGGAGGTCAATCTCGTCCGTTAACAGCATGATGTGCTGCTGCGCGGCTTTCTATGCAGGTTAACGGTGTCTGTTGGAATCAAATGCTCGTGTCGATCCTCCAAAGCCAGAACTCTTCTGACGGCTTCCTCGAACGCAACCGCGACATTAGTCGCGTCTTTAGCACTGGTCTCGAAATACGGGTATCCTCCGCTTTCCCTGCACCACTCCTGAGCTTCCTCGCTGGTCACCTGCCTCTCCGTCACGTCCACCTTGTTGCCCAGAAGCACGAACGGGAAGCTGTCGGGCTCCTTGACGTCGGCGTAGAAGATGAACTCTTTCCTCCAGTTGTTGAGGTTGTGGAAGCTCTGGCTGTCGTCCACGCTGAAGGTCAGCAGGCAGCAGTCGGAGCCGCGGTAGAAGGGCGTCCGCAGGCTGCGGAATCGCTCCTGACCCGCCGTGTCCCAGATCTGCAGCGTGACCGTGCGGCCGTCCACCTCCAGGTCTTTATTGAGGAACTCCACGCCGATGGTGTGAAAGAGATGGGCGTCGAACTTGTTAGTGACGTAGCGGTTCATGAGCGAGCTCTTTCCCACTCCACCGTCGCCCAGGAGAATGACTTTAAGAAGGGATGATTTAGATGACATGGTGTTTGTAGCCGTCGTCCTGTGAACTGAAGTTTAGGGGCATTTTTAACTGAAATGAGTCATATGATTCTCCAATAAAACTGTTTTTTACACTATCTGTCAAAAGTTAGGAGTAATTTAGACGTTGTTAAAAGAAGTCTTTCTGCTCACCAATACAGTAAAAACAGTAAAATTTTGAAAAATTATTATAATTTAAAATAACTGTTTTCTATGTGAATATATTGTAAAATGTAATTTATTTCTGTGATCAAAGCTGGATTTTCAGCATCATTACTCCAGTCTTCAGTGTCACATGATCTTCAGAAATCATTCTAATATGCATTATGTAATTTGTATTATATTGTATATTATATTATATTATATGTAATTTACATTACTAGCATTCAACAGTTTAGGGACAGTATGGTAAAAAAAAAAAAAAAAATTATTTTTATTAATCAAGGATGCATTATATTGATCAAAAGTGACAGTAAAGACATTTATAATATCACACAAGATTTCTATTTCAAATAAATGCTGTTCTTTTTAACTTTCTATTCCTCTGTGAATCCTGAAAAATAAAATGAATCACGGTACAGCAATAAATTACATTTTAACATATTTTCAAATAGAAAAGTTATATTAAATTCCAAGAAATATTACATAATTTTTTACTCTTTTGATCAAATAAATGCAGCCTTGGTAAGCAGAAGAGACGTCTTTCAAAAATATTGTAAAAAAAAAAAAAAAAACTTTTGACTGGTAGTGTATATGATTTATTTTAGTAACTGTTAATATTTGATATACCTGAATAAATACATATATGTGGCTCTTAGAATGGTACAAAAGGCCAAATGTAGTACTAGCAGGTGGAGAGCGGTTTATAAAACACTATTTGAACAAATTGTAGCCAAGTTTCATTTCTGTAAAACTGTTTCTTTGTTTATTAAATGAACTGATTCAGAATTTCTTTAAATTGTCATTTTGTAGCATTAGCATTATGCATGTGAGTTATTGCAATATTTGGGAAAATTGGGGAGCAAGTAGGTTTCACTTACCTTTACTGCCTCAAATAATTCATCATTCAAAACCTAGAACAACAAACAAACAAAATCGCTAAATTAGAAATATTATCCCAACGTACCAGACTAATCAAATTAAGATCTACGCAACAGAGACTTAATATTGTAATGTGTTGTCCGCATATATTATGAAACTATTTACGGTTATTCATGCTGAAGTGAGATGTGTTACAGAAATATTTCACATACAGCACATTATATCACAGTTATTATTATTCATTATGCATGTTTCTATATGCAGTATAATGATTATGTAGGTTATTATAACATTAGTACATTAGTACATTATGTTTATACATCAAATAACTGATTTTTAATGGTTTTATGTCTGTTTTCTGTGAAAAACTACATTATGCTCAAACATCAGATAATTAATATTTTTGTAATTATTTTATTTCTGTGTTTTAAAAAAAATAAATACTACATTATGTTTAAAAATTAAATAACCAATATAAAAGTGTTTTCATTTTTTGTGAAAATAAAAACGACATTATATTCAAATATCCAATAACTGATAAAACTTTAATGCTTTCATTTCTGTTTTGTAAAAATAAAAACTACATTATCACTACACTGCAACAACAGAAACATATACCTAATCAGCAAACATATAATCATAATCAGCACTCATAAAACCCCACGTAGGTCAATCTTTACTACACTAGACACAAATCAAGCTGGCATTACTCTGATAGGCCCAGTAATGCTGGACATGAGAAGATGCTATAGCACTAAATGAAGGCATGAGTAAGGTCCACTGAGACTCAGTAGTTTTCTCTCAGCTGCTGGCGGTCAGTTGGTCATGTGCTCCTGTCTGTCCTGCATCACATGCAACAGTGTGCGTTACAATTCAGACAACATGCAACACCGCCAGAGTTTAAACACACACAGAATGATTTAATTACAATCACACAAGCCTGCTGGAGAAAACACTCAGTCAATTCACTGCACAGCTGTATTAGTGCAGTTGAGACTTACAGTCAATAATTATTTTTACATGGAAACCTTTTTTTCTTCTTCTCTCCATTCAAGTTATTTTTGCATGGAAACCAACGAGGGTCAATTTGCCCAGCAAGACAAAATTAACTTTCAACACAACAGGAGGGTTAAATGACCTGATTCAGAAATTAATTCAAATATTCCAGTTTACTCAATTCAAAAATGTGAAAATATTGCTGGGAACATCTTGTCATTTTATGAGGTATGAATGTGGTTGAAACTGCTTATATGGCTAATATTTCAAATATTTATAACACAGCATCAAATACTTGATTCTGATTGGCCAATCCTTGCAATCAGAATATTATATTATTTAGAAATCCTTATATATATATATATATATATACGCATATTATATTACATATTATATATTGCTTAAGGAAAACATAGTATATAAAGTAATACAACAAATGGTGTCATGTATTAATAATATGTATAATTTATTTATTAATAGTAACATTATGATATGATTTATTTTAACACATTATGGTAACGATAGTTTGAATCGGGGTGCATTAGTGACTATTAATCACTAATATATCACGATATCGCTTAAAATAACACATTTGAGATGAAATATGAGCTGGACATTCATTTATTTACAAAACTGCAGGAGAAGCGGTTAACAAACCAAACGAGGAGGACATTTATTTACAATGAAGAAACCCCACCGAACCCATAAATGACTGAGTTGTTGAACTTGACAAAACTAAACAACACAAACTGAATCCGTCAGAAGGAAATAAACAGCGCTGTGTGTGTAACGCTGCTAACTGGAGCGTTATAACCGCAGATGTAACGCATATCTGAGCTGAAAGCGACTCGGGCTCACCTGCAGCTGCTTCAGGAACCGGAAACCTGGATTCGATAAACAGAAACAAAACAAGCGATAAAGCGAAGTTTCAGGGCTCTTCCTCTGATCTCTGATGGTGCTGCTCTCGTGCAATCCTATTGGCTGGTGCGTGTCATGTGACCCCACTGGCGATCACGTGATGTGTTGCTACATAAACAGAAGAGCTGCATCATACATTCGTGCGTCGCATATATATATATGTTTTTTTTTCTCAAGTGAAAAGTTAAAGTTAGACGCTTTGAGATAAGACGAATCCCTCGGAATTGAAACAGAAGCAGGAGTTATTTAATATTTCCATAAATTAAAAGCACATTTCAAACTTGCTCATTATTCATCATAGCCTATATGCCTTTTATTTCTACTATTAAATCTCTTAAATTAAAAATATAGGCCTGTATATAATTCATAGTAGGCTTATAATTTAGATTATCAACTAAATTGTTAAAGTGCATTTCCATAGAACATTTATTTGTTTTAGTATTTGACATGAATGAAACCTTTTTTTCAGATTAATAAATAAATAATCTTCCTGAGAAACATTTGAATGCTGAGCAAATCCTTTTTGGTGGGATTGTTTCTTATTATTTCGACTGTCATGTTGTAATAAAGCCCTTCAGATTCTGAATCAGTTGCACAATTTGAGTAAAAGTCAGTAAAGCCACTCTGAAGCTTCCACTGCTGACGGGAGCAGAGACTGATTTAATCAAGCGAGTCAGTTACATTAATGTATTCATTTATTGGGAAATATAAACAGAATCCAGGGTTCCCTCTCTTTTAGACCAATGCGTTTGTCCATGAAACCAAACATTTAACCTTTCATTACTAAAATCATACACTCTCAGAAATAAAGGTACAACAGCTGTCACTGGGGCGGTACCTTTTCTAAAGGTACACTTTTGTACCTATTAGGTTCTAATATGTACACTTTAAGTAGCAATATGTACCTCTGAGGTACTAAAATGGACCCTTTAGGTACAAATATGTACCTTTTGAAAAGGTACCGCCCCAGTGACAGCTGTTGTACCTTTATATAATCACATTTTTAATGTAAAAAAAAAAAAATTTGGATAAAGGGATTATCAAAATTTGTTCAGAAACTGAGTCAAACTTTTAAAGAGTTTTCACTGAGTCCCAGAGACTCTGAGAATTTGTTCTGAGAATCAGATTTGTAAATGGCTTTAATCAAGTATTTCTATTTCATTTTAAATTGATGTGGATTAAAAATGACTTTTACATCCATTTACATCAATGAACAAATTATCATTTAACCTCTATAACTGAAATAAACAATTATTCATTTAGTCTCATGATGAACAAATATTGAAATGATGATATGGATTAAATATTGGAAACATGATGACAGTAAAAGATGAAAGCAGGTTGATCCAGATCTACAGGTGCAACGTTTACTGACTATTGAACGGTAAGATCCTCAGAGAGTAAACCGTACAGAAAAATGGAAAGACTGTGTCAGTGAAAGTGGTTGTGAATGTGTGTAGATGTGTGTTAGTTACAGGATCAGAGAATGACACCGTTCCTCTGTCAAAGTCCAGATACACTCTCACACGCTCAAGATTCTGTTTAACAGGAAAACCAAACCGTTCAGGCCATCCGTACTGTACACTCCAGACATCAGTGTTAAAGAAAACATCTCTTTTCCTTTGGTTTGATGCTGTAGTTACTCCAAGACTCCAGCATTGAATCTTTTTAACCTCCACATCCCAGCAGTGTGTTCCTGAGTTAAAACCCTCTGAGCCCAGAACACAAGGATAAGAGTCAAATCTCTCTGGATTATCAGGAAGCACTTGATTCTTCTCGCTGTATCTCACACTGGTCAGATCATCAGACAGGACGAGATGTGAAAATGCAGTGTTTTGATCCAGAATCACAGGAGCTAATGAGACACAATCAACAGCTGCTTTTATTCTGATGTTCAGTGGCGGCTGGTGGAAAATTTTCCAGGAAAAACATCCCAGTATGATTTATCCCAGTATAACAAAAGTAAAAATATTAAGACTTGAAACATTTTAAATAAAGACGATTGTTTTACTAAATTCAAGATTAAGTTTGAGGATGATTCTCACAAAACTGTTTTTTACAAGATTTTTGAGATACATTTTTTTTTTTTTTTTAATTTTCATAATTCACAGTTTATGCATAGAGTGCAACAGCAAAAACTGTGAGGAAAAAAAATGTCACATTTGTTTAGAGCATTTTCTATATCAGGGGTTCTCAACTCTTGCCCCCGAGGTCCACTTTCCTGCAGAGTTTAGCTCCAACCCTAATCAAACACACCTGAACAAGCTAATCAAGGTATTCAGGAACACTAGAAACAAAGCCACTGGAAGGCAAGCCGTAATGGCTAATGTTAATGCTGCGTTCCAGACAACTCAAAATTCTGAATTCTTTCCCCCACCTCCTACTTGTAAATAACGTCTGAAACACCACTTGAAGTCGGACATCCGACCTGTCAACTCGGGGCAGTTTTTTTTATATTAAACACTTGCTTAGGAAATACAAAAGTGAAAAAACATACGCCAAGGAAAAGAGCCAGGGGTTTAAGGATGGCCAATCAATGCAATTAAAATTCAAAAGAGAGATAAAAAAAATACATTAAAAATTAATTAATTCATGAAAAAAAATAAGCAGATCACATAACAATAAACAATCTTTCCTACAAAACAAAAATTATTATTATTAAATAAAAATTATACAAAAACACTAAAAAGTGAGCATACATTCAACGTTTTAGTTGCCTTTTTATTACAGGAGTTAGACAAGGATTTAATATAGATCTTAATATCTTATTGAAAGTGAGAAAAGTGGGGAACTCGGGGCAGATCGATCAACCCTGACCTTAGCGAGACGTGTCATTTGACGTCACTGCTTCAAACTAGCATAGTGTGGAGCTACCTTATGTCGAACTTAAAAACATTATACATTAAGTTTATAAAATTATACCTTAATTTTTGGTTGCTTTCAAAATGAATGGCAGCATTTTATGATATTTTTTCTGTTTTTTTGCTATTATTGACACAAAAATAAAAAAATTTAAGTTACTGTATGCAGTACCGCCGTTCCCTATACGCAGGGTATGCAGTTTGCGTAGGGCACCAACTCCCAGGGGGGCACCATCCCAGCTGCTAAAAAAACAACAACCTTTCATTCTATATTAATATTAAAATTAACATATACATAAATAAATAATAATAATAATTCATTATATTTATATTGCGCTTTTCTAGGCACTCAAAGTGCTTTACATTGTCAGGGGGTATCTCCTCATCCACCACCAGTGTGCAGCATCCACCTGGATGATGCGACGGCAGCCATAGTGCGCCAGAACGCCCACCACACACCAGCTTATTGGTGGAGAGGAGACAGAGTGATGAAGCCAATCAGCAGATATGGGGATGGTTAGGAGGCCATGATGGTCAGAGACCAATGGGCAAATTTGGCCAGGATGCCGAGGTCACACCTCTACTCTTTTCTAAAGACATCCTGGGATTTTTAATGACCACAGAGAGTCAGGACCTCGGTTTAACGTCTCATCCAAAGGACGGTGCTTGTTGACAGTACAGTGTCCCTGTCACTATACTGGGGCGTTAGGACCCACGCAGACCACAGGGTGAGCACCCCCTGCTGGCCTCACTGACACCAAATAAAATCTAAACATGAACACATATATACATATACATATATATATACACATATACACATATATATATATATATATATAATCATAAAAAAAAATGCATGGTGAACGCAGTAGGCAGTGATGCGCCACGTGACGCGCCATTCCCTTGCCTGTTCGCACCTCATGTTTGCGGCTGAATGCAAATTATCACAACTGATGGACAACTATGCCTGTGAAAACACATCATCAATCCAGCACTGAGAAAAAAAAAAGATGAAAATGAAGCCCATGCATCACTTTCAGGTACATTCATAATCCTGTAAAACTTTTTTGGCTGTTGACGTTAATAACGTGTTTTAATGTCAGTAATAATTTAACCACCAACAACGCATCTAATATTCTCTCTGGGTTTCCATGTTCCCTTACAAAAATTAGCCATGGTTTTACTACGAATGAAACCAAAAATCATGGTTCTTGTAGCCATGGATGGTAACCACAAATTAACCATGGTTTTGTTACTTCAAATAATAGTTTTACAAAGAAGTATTAAGATAATATTTGTGTGGTTATAAAAAGAGACCTAAGCCAACAACAGCCTTTAAAATGACTAAACAATGAGGCAATAATGATTGGTTAATTAATACGTAATTACATAGTTTCATTGAATAACACTGTTAAAATACATAATGTAATACAAAATAAACAATTTATGTACATTACATATTAGCCTATTACAAATCCCTGCAAAGGGAGCCAAAGGTCTGGTAATTGCTGCTGTTACAGGACGATCAAGTCCTTTAATACTGACCAAACATTTGGGCTAATTCAAATATCCACTTAATCTTTAATTTTTGGCCACCTTTTTGCAACAGAAATGCCTCTATAATTTCTTCAACAAAAACATGTGGACAGCACAACCCTTACAAAAAGTAACCATGGTTTTATCGTAGTAAAACTGCTTAATTTTCTTTTGTGTGGTTTCTGAATGCTTGCGACTATAAAATCAATCAGACAACTGCATTAATAAAATCATAGCCATAGGTAACTGTCTAGAGCTATAATTGTAATTTGTAAATAATACAATTTATTCATTTCTTTACTTTTATATTTTATTAAAGTTCTAGTTTGAACCCTATAGTAGGTGTTTTTATTTTATTTTTTACATTCATAATATTTGAGGGAGAGGGCACAACAATACAATTCTGCTTAGGGCACCCATTTGGCCAGCAGCGGCCCTGACTGTATGTCATGGCGACATCATATGGTCAATATGTTAATGTGACGTGTGATTGACTGGAACTCCCTGAGATTGGAAGTGAGAAATTCAAACTCAGATGTTCCCTTTTCCGACCTCGTCTGGAAAACGCCATAACGCTGCGGCTTTTGCGCTACCCAGGGAAGGAGACCAAAGGCTGTTTTTTATTTAATGGATGTTAATCGAGGAGAGGCTTTGCTATGCTGAATAAACATCTTTTGTGATCAGAGGTGTCATGCCCATTCAAATGGAGGGGGCACGTGACCCCTCAGATTTTTGAGCCAAGTGGATTTTGAATGCAGCTTCCAAAAGACTTTTTATATTTGATACAATCACACTGCGTGTTTAGAACGTTCAGTGCGGCACATCACCAGCTGCTAAATTCAAATCTGTGTTCGCGCTTTGGCTGGCGGAGCCAGAGACAGGCGTGTATTTACAGTGCTATGCATTATAACCAATCACACACATGATTCTGTTGAGCTCATGAATGCAATGGCCAATCAGAGGCGTTCAGATGATGTTACATGTCTGCAGTTTTCCATCTCTGTGTTTCCCCTGTGACCTAGTCTTCCCCAGTCGGTTTAATTAGTCATTCTGTTCACCTGGTGTCTTGTTAATTATCTCATTAGTTCCCTTTGTTTGGTTCATGTTTATAAGCCCTCAGTTCTAACTTAGTCTTCGTCCGTTTTCGTCAATGTTAAGCTGGTTTCTGTGCCTGTTCTCCTGGATTTATCGAATTAAAATACTTTTTGTTGATCTCCTTCGTGCTTGTGTAGTTTGTTTCACCAACGCGTGACAGAAGAACGGACCAATACAATTTTTGTTTCCTTTTTTCCCACTCCTCTGTAACCATGGACAATCCTAATGTTGCCCTGCTGTGCCTGGAGCAGAGGGACCACTCCCTGGAATCTCACACCAGGGATTTTTTGGAGTTGGCGTGCCAAACGCACTATCCAGACCGCTCGCTTTGCATGTTTTACATCTCAAGCCTCAGCGAGATGTTGTCGTGGAGTGGGTGATAGAGAGAATAACAGATCTCCATTCACCATTTACCCCGCAGAGGAAGACATCTCCAGCCCCACTCCCGCCCCAGAGGTCAGACAGCCTTCAATCCCGCTGTGTGGAACGGATGTCAGAGCCCACCGCAGACAGAGTGCCGGAGCACGCCGCGATTAACAAGCCATCGCAAAACAGAGTGACAGAGCAGATTATCGCCCCGGAGCCAGAGCCTCAAGACACGTCTGACCAGGTGCGTGAGCCGACAACACCATGTATCGCCGTGGGAGCCCTCGTGGAGATTGAGGGCTTAGAGGGAAGCCCCACCAACACTCCCGACACTGAGGGTGAGTTGCAAATGGCCTCTGGGAGCTATTGAGGAACTTTTGGGCATTTGTGAGGAGGATTTGATTGACTGGTTTGGAGAGGTTGGACCCAGTTCCCATGAATCTCCATTACTCCCTACGTCTCCTGAGTCTCCGCTGGTTCCGTCCAGCTCTCCTACGTCTCCTGAGTCTCCGCTGGTTCGGTCCAGCTCTCCTACGTCTCCTAAGCTTCCACCCAGCCTCCCTCTCCCGCCTCCTCTAAAACTAGCCAGTTCCTCAGCCCTATCTTCGCTGGTGCCTGTCAGTCCCTCAGCTCACCCTCAGTCAGCACAATCTGAGCGCTCTGATTTGCCTCGTGACTTCCAGTCTCCAGCTGTGCCAAGTCGTGAAGATCCCCTGTCTCCGCCTCCAGCCTCCGAGTCCTGGACTCCACCTCGGTCCTTCGACCCATTGGCTCCACCTTGGCTCCTATCTCCCTCGTCTCCACCGTGCCCCGTCATCCCACTGGCTCCACCGGGCTCTCTCGTCCCTCCGGCTCCGCCTTGGTCAGTTGTCGACCATCCACCGCCTCAGGCTCCTGTCCTCTGGCTTCGCCTCGTCACTCCGTCCCTCTGGCACTGTCAGGCTCCTCTTTCCCTCCGCTCTCCGTCTGCTCTGCTCCACCTGGGTCTCCACCTCCAGTGGCTCCATCGTTCGTCCCCAGGGTGTTGTCAAGACCTTCTTCCCCTTGGCTCCTCCCTCCCTCGGCTCCACCTTGGGGCCTCGTCCTGGCTGGTGTCTGGATCTCCACCTGGATCCTCCTGCTCCTGGCATCCCCTTGGCTCCTCTCACCCTCCACTCCCCCATGGACATTTTTGGACTCATTTTTTGTTTCTGCCCCTCTCCTGCTCCCCCTCCAGAACCCCCGCCCTTCCTCCTCAGTTGGACTCTATACGGTGCAAGGTTGCACCTTCCCGGAGGGGGGCGATCTGATACATGTCTGTAGTTTCTGTGTTTCCCCTGTGACCTAGTCTTCCCCAGTCGGTTTAATTAGTCATTCTGTTCACCTGGTGTCTTGTTAATTATCCCATTAGTTCCCTTTGTTTGGTTCATGTTTATAAGCCCTCAGTTCTAACTTAGTCTTCGTCCGTTTTCGTCAATGTTAAGCTGGTTTCTGTGCCTGTTCTCCTGGATTTATCTAATTAAAATACTTTTTGTTGATCTCCTTCGTGCTTGTGCAGTTTGTATCACCAACGCGTGACAGATGAGTTATCGCTGAAACGTTGGGGCTTTGTTCAGTGTACGCACTCGCTGCCTGAATTCTGCTCTCTTTCTCTCATCAGAAACAACAAAGTGCAGATGTGCGTTGTAAGAAAAATGATGAGGACGATGAAGATCTCGATGAAGATGTTTATCGCAGCATAGCAGTGACAAAGTACATGTAGTACCTTGGGTTCAACGGAGTCAGAATGAACCTCGAGCATCCTAAGCTCAAACATTTTATACTCTATTACGTTCATCTTCCCGCTAGACATGTAAATGAACTTTCGTCTTAAATGTAAATTGCGGATAACAATGAAAGTGATAGCCTTCCGTTCCCACATCTTTGGTAGTCTTTCAGGTGGAAACAACCAAATGTTAAGGTGATAGGATTATCTAGAATCCCTAGCAATTATATTCAAGTACCCTTTTGGTCAGCAGATGGTTCTATGATGGCCTACTAAAAAAGCAAATAAAAACATTATGAATTTGGTGATCTGAAGGCAGCTCAACATGATCAGTGATCTCTGTTCCAGTTCCTCTGTCAGAGTGATTGTTGATGCCCATATAAACACCACTGACCACTGCAAACTCCTATAAAAACACGCTTCCTCAGCGAGTGTCCATTATAAAACACTTGCCAGACATGCGACCATACTGAAATGTGCTCTGCAAAAAGCTACCAGAGAGCGCACATACAAGGTTTTGTTTATTTGCACACTAATATTATATCTATGAAAAATTTCAGTCGGGTTTCAGGCCCCATCATAGCACAGAAACTGCACTTGTTAAAATTACAAATGACTTGCGTCTTGCGTCAGAACAAGGCTGCATCTCATTGCTAGTTTTACTTGACCTTAGTGCTGCGTTCAACACTATAGATCATGACATACTCATAGACCGATTACAAAACTATACAGGTATTCAATGGAAGGCTTTAAGATGGTTTAGATCCTACCTTTCCAATCGCTATCACTTTGTCTATTTAAACCATGTTACAAAAACAGCATTCTTCCATCTTAGAAACATAGCCAAGCTACGGAACATGTTAACTGTTTCTGACGCAATTCATGACCTCTAGACTGGACTATTGTAATGCACTGCTAGGTGGTTGTCCTGCATCTTCCATAAACAAGCTACAGGTAGTCCAAAATGCAGCTGCTAGAGTCCTTACCAGGTCAAGAAAATATGGTATTACCCCAATTTTACATTCTCTGCACTGGCTACCTATTAATTTCCGTATCAGTTAAATTATTACTACTCACTTTTAAGGCCCTAAATGGTTTAGCTCATGTGTACTTAACTAGTCTTCTATCACACTACAATCCATCATGCTCCCTAAGGTCTTTTTGATTACATGACATTAACTAACTGCTTGATTTGTACCGTACATTTCTGCCATTATGGACATCAACTTGAGATAGTCATCACTGATAAGCTATTACTAAATATAATGTAGAAGCTTTAATTTTCTGTAAAGCTGCTTGCAATGATTTGCATCGTGAAAAGCGCTATACAAAAACTTGAATTGAATCGGAAATTGAATTAAATTAATAATAACGGACTTGCGCATGTCTAATAACGTACGTCTCCTGTATGTCATTGTAATCGTCTTTACCTCCATTACAATCGTCATCCATCAAAACTTTGCTGGTAAGAAACTGGTTTTCTTTATTCAGGCCATACAGACTAGTCCTGACTTTAGCTTAAAGATAATTAACAGAAGTATGTTTGTTCCCACCAATCGCTGCACAAGTTACGTTTACGTATGATGACGAAAGCTAGCATAACACTGTGGTTGAATGTGATAGAAAAAAATCCCACCCTTCCATACTTGGTGGTGCGTCGCCCTATCGTCCTAATGAAAAAAACTGCCCCGACTGTTCATATAATGATCAAGAGTGAACCCCACACAGATTATTATGAATTATGGCACTCATCCTAATGATCAAAAAGATCAGACATTTTCCTCTCATCATTGTCAGTGTTGTTACAGTAAATATTTTAGATTTGCCAATCAATCAAACTGAACTGAGATCTGCTGTATCACTGTAACTGTAAATATCATGTAGACCAAAATTGTTCTTCTCTTGTTTACGGCTCATTTTGGTGTAGTAGCTCATCTGGTTATTCACACATAATGCTGAAATCTGTAAATATTCCATCACGCATCATTTCAAGTGTATGTGTAACAGCACAGATCTTCTCCAGACTCACTGTTTTGGACAATGTCCTGCATCTTCTTCCAGACTCTGAAGGGCAGGTTGCCCAAGTAACATGGCACATGAATCAAAGCTCCAGAAGGCGTCTGTGGATCCGGCTGTGAGATCTGGACTCTGGAAGAACATTCAAGATCAGAACTGCAGTGGCTTTGGCTTCAGGTGGATACGGCTGTGAGATCTGGACTCTGGAAGAACATTCAAGATCAGAACTGCAGTGGCTTTGGCTTCAGAAGCAGAGATACCAGAGACACCAGCAGATCACTCACCTTTCCATCGTGACTGGAAACTCCTGCAGAATAAACACACCATTTATCATCAAGAAATCAATCAAGCATCAATCAATCAATCAATGGATGATCTGAAATCAGACCTTTAGAAAGCAGATGGCATTGGCTTTCATCATCTCCTCCGTGTCTTTGATTGTGTGTGAAAGAGCTGAGATGTGTCTGTTCATCTCCTCCAGCTTCTCCTTCATCATCTGCTTCTTCTGCTCCTCTTCCTCCCTCAGTGCAGTGATTGTAGCTTCTTCTTCATCTCTGAGAAACTGATGAAGCTTCTCAAATTGCTGTTTAATCTGACATTCTGTGTGCTCAGCTTGAGACTGAAATCAAATCACATTCACTTCAATCATCTCAATCAACACAGAAACTCAGACACCCGACATATAACAGATCCAGAAGCAGATTGCTGCTCATCTTACACAAAAATAATAAATTGGAATCCATTATATTAAATATAACAAATCATAATTGTGTAAATTACAGCTCTACTGAAAATGACTCTTGATTCTGTTTTCTCACCTTGATGTGTTGAACTGTTTCCTCAAACGCTTCTTTAATGTTTTCATTGTGTTGAAGTTTCTCCTGTAAGGCCTTCAGTGCCTTATTGAGCTCCTCCTAATATTAAACAAAATAAAAAAAAATATATATATAAAAAAAAACAGATTAAAGTGATTATACAGTGCTGAAAAAAAGATGGGTGTGTGCAAAAATCTAAACATAAAATAAAATCTAAAAAACTAAACATAAAATAAAATAAAAGCAACCTGAATAAATACAATTGTCAGACAACTGTCTCCCAAACTTGTTTACGAGATCCAAGCACAGGTTTATTTGAATGATCCAGAATAATTATCCAATAAACAGACAATAGGTGAAAAGCAATCCAAATAAGGCAATAAAGCAGAAAGCACAAGGTAATCCAGAACACAGGCACCAACAAAAAAAGCTCAGCAAGCAGTGTAACAAATACAAAACCTCAAGAACAAAGGCTGAGTGAACATGGTTTATACTGTATAGAGTGAGCTAAACTGGTTAATGATACACAGCTGGAAGTAATGAGGCATGATAGTTTGGGCAAAGGGAAATGGGAAATGAAGTAGTGTTGGGTCGTTCTTGAATGATTTGTTCATTTTGAACGAATCTTTAATGTGACTCGGGAAGAGCGAGTCGTCTCGGGGAGTGATTCGTTCAGTCACGCATGCGCAACATCCTATAGGTTCTGTACTGGAATTAGTCAAGTAGTTCACCTGGTTCGAGTCTTTGGGTTTTTCGAGTCATCACGTGACAGCCCAATAAGTTTAACCAATGCAGTCTGAGCCGGAAAGAGAATTGATTAGTTCATCTCTCGAGTCTTCGGGTTTTTCGAGTCGTTCGTTCATCACGTGACTGCCACATAAGTTTAACCAATGACGTCTGAGCCGGAAAGAGACTTAATAATAATAACCAACTCTTTATTTCCTTTGTTACAACATTCAGTGTTATGGAAAAGTCCAAGACAAAGAGGCAATGATCTGGGAGGAGTGCCCTCTGGTGGCCATCTTGCACACCAGCTGATGACTGTGACAACAATATACACTTATATAAAACTTTTTCAATAGCATTAAATTGGTTAAAGGTCTTAAACCAGTAACACACTACGCCAAATATTAAAGAAAATGGTAGTCCACTTCCACAAAGTGCAATTGTCCGCTCAAAGTGCGATTGAGAGCTTACTGCTTAACAGTATTTAGTTCTTGTGTGAAAGTGAAAAAAAGTGAAAGTGACGTAACATGTGGCCAAGTATGGTGACCCATACTCGGAATTAGTGCTCTGCATTTATCCCATCCAATGTGCACACACAGCAGTGAACACACACACACACACACCGTGAACACACACCCGGCGCAGTGGACAGCCATTTTTTGCTGCGGCGCCCAGGGAGCAGTTGGGGGTTCGGTGCCTTTCTCAAGGGCACCTCAGTCATGGTACTGAAGGTGGAAGAGAGCGCTGGTTATTCACTCCCCCCACCTACAATTCCTGCCGGTATGAGATTCGAACCCACAACCTTTGGGTTACCTGTCCAACTCTCTAACCATTAGGCCACGACTTCCCCCAAGTGTGGCTCTGGAGTTGAAACTGTTCGTAAGTCTATTTGCCTGTAATACAATAGAAATGAATTGTCCAGGGTGGGATGGGTCTTTGAGTAAGTTAGAACAATTAGTTTTGGAGTGGTCTAGTCAAAGTTCTGAATTTAACTCAGTTTAGATGCTGTGGCACCTTTAACAAGCAGTTCATGCTGAAAAGCATGAGCTGAAAGAAGAGTTGGTTGAAATCCCACAGATCTTATTTAGTATGAGACATACACAAAAACTGGAAGAAATCAGTTTTGGGGGCAAATACTTTTTCACAGTAGAGTATATGTCATATGAAGTTGAGTAGAATGGTAGAGAGAAATACCTACCTTATATGATGGAACAACTTCACTGATGGGTCTGACTGTGTGATTGATGTGTTTTTGTGAAGTAAAGCACACTAAACACGCAGGCTGTTTGTCCTCCAGACAGAAGAGTTTGAGTTTCTCACTGTGTAAACTGCAGATCTCCTCAGATCCTGATGAACGGCTCTCATTTCTCTCCGTCAGGAACGACTCACACAAGTTTTGTAACGCCAGATTTAATGGAGGATTTTCCTTTGAGGATCTTCTCCTGCAGACAGGACACTCCTGAGTTTCCTTAGCTCTCCAGAACTGTTGAAGACACTCTTTACAGACACTGTGACTACATGATAAAAGAACAGGAGCCTTGAAGATTTCACAGCACACGGGACAATTATAGTCATATTCAGCTGATGAAGCCATTTTCACTGTTTGAGCTCCAGCAATCTAAACTTTACTTTCTTTTTCTGAACGACAGTTTCAAACATGAATAACCACGAGAATCACAAAGATTTTCTGTCTGTTCAGAAACAAAATTCTAAAATGCATCAAAGTTTCTCTTTGTTTTTGCTTTTGTCAAAGAAGAAAATCAGTGTGACAGAAAGGAGAAAAAACAAGTCAGTCTTTTCCTGGGAAGTGTTGTGAGAGGGTGGAGTTTCTGATCACCTTTGGTCTGAAGACATTAGGATTTCTTCAGGTTACATATTAATAAAACGCATTCAAAATCTTCACACGCTGAAGTCAGTGATAAAATCACATCTGCTTATGTTGATTGTCAGTGTTTGGAGATACAGGTAGAGGTGGGTAGAGTGACCAATAACTGTACTCAAGTAAAAGTACACATTTATAGAAATGATTACTCATGTAGAAGTCAAAGTAATAATGTTAAAACATTTGAGCAAAATAATCCAATGAAAAAACTGTCACAACACGGTCGCAGAAAAATGGAGTAATGGATCTAAACGCAGCAGATTTATTAACAGAACTGAAAAAGAAACTCTCGGCAGAAACAGAACAACCAAGAACAACATAACAATAGCAAAGGACGGAACTGAACACAACACGGAGCTTAAATGGCCCAAACTAAACAACAGAAGATCACTAACATTAGAACAGTGGAGATCCAGGTGGAGCCGCAGAACCACAGGAACAGGGCAACAATGCAGGTCCTGGATGGCAGGGCAGCGCCAAGAGACTGAAGTGACGGCAAAGCAACCAAGGACTAAGGTGGAACCGGAAAGAAGGATGACGGAGCCAAAGTGATGGAGGGATGAGGCGCAGGTGATGGACTGTACATCTGTAGTGCAGACAGAGTGATTCCTGACCAAGGTGGAGCCGGAGGGAAAAGGAAGCTCGGAGGAGCCAAGGAGAACCAGCTGGAGCTGACTGCTCAACAGGCCGAGGAAGAGTGACGAACACTGAGGTCCTACAGCAGGTCAAGGGTGTCCAATCCTACTCCTGGAGGGCCAACGTCCTGCGGAGATTAGCTACAACCAGCTTAAACACAATTGCCTGCGAGTTTCTAATGAGTCTGAAGGCCTTGATTAGCTGGTTCATGTTTGTTTAATTAGGGTTGGAGCTTTGCAGGATAGTGGCACTCCAGGAGCAGGCTTGGACACCCTTGTCCTAGGTGGAGCTAATGAGTCAGCTGTCCAAGGCTGAGCTGATAAAGACTCAGACAGAGGAGAATCAGTGAGCAGAGCAGGAGCCGAAGGACTGAGGAGAGGCAGTGCAGACAGGGATAGAGGACAGAACAATACAGGCAGTGGTAAACACACAGGCTTTACAGGAGAACACACGATGGTCGTAGACATGAACGGCCCTTCTGGCTGAGGAGGAATAGGCAGGGAACTCACTGGATTTAGACGTCCAGAATGGGAAGCAAGGCAGGAACTCAAATCCTAAAATTTCAGTGTTGTGTGCAAGGCTCAGTGCAGGAAACATACTGTAAATGGGCAGGATGCACTCACTCTCAAAGCAGTGATTCGCCAGCCATGACAGAATTATAATTTATATACCATTGACAGGTGTACTGTATATTATGATGTTTTAATGATATTTCTTCTGATTGATCATGTTTGCTGTATTCATTAATTAAGTTTACATGTTTAAGTTACATAACTAATGGTTCGCTCGACTATTCAAGTTTGCACTGGCTATTAGGACACATAACAGAGACTAAAGCATTGTGATGTCTGTTTATGGGGAAATGTATTGAGTTATCTGAGAAAGATACTATTTGAGTATAAGAAGGACTCTGACAAGAGTTAGGCCACACATGTTTATTGGTGTTTTGTTTGAGTGATTCACATATAAGGGATATAAGACACTGATTTAATTAATGTAATAAAGATTACAAGAGCGACTCCGTTCAGGCAGGTGCTGATGTTCTGAGCCAATTTCTGTGCATAGTGATGTGAAAAGTCAGGAGGAGAGTGCCCTGGCCCTGACAGCATTTACTTTTTTGATGACAATCTGCAACACGTCGTTTAACTCCGGGTGCAGTTTCTTACTGGCAAGGGCTTCTCAATGTAAAAAACAATGGGTAAAAGTAGCTAATGGGGCAACCTCCCTTACTCAAGCAGCAAGACCAAGATTTAGCTGCAGCTAAGTGACATTGTGTGTTCCACTGTTTGAAAACCCCTGGACTAACCTGAAGTTTCCACTGCTGAATTAAATAACATGATGACTATAAAAGATGAAAGCAGGTTGATCCAGACCTACGGGTGTAATGTTTACTGACTATTGAACGGTAAGATCCTCAGAGAGTAACCACCCCACAAGAAAGGAAAGACTGTGTCAGTGAAAGTGGTTGTGAATGCGTGTAGATGTGTGATAGTTACAGGATCAGAGAATGACACCGTTCCTCTGTCATAGTCCAGATCAACTCTCACACGCTCAACATCCTGTTTAACAGGAAAACCAAACTGATCAGACCATCTGTACTGTACACTCCAGACATCAGTGTTAAATAAATCCTCTCCCTTTCTTTGGTTTGATGCTGCAGTTACTGGACTCTCTTTAACCTCCACATCCCAGCAGTGTGTTCCTGAGTTCAAACCCTCTGAACCTAGAACACAGAGATAATAGTTGAATCTCTTTGCATTATCAGGGAGTGGTTGATCATCCCAGCTGTATCTCACACTGGTCAGATCATCAGACAGGAGGAGATTTGGACTTGCAGTGTTTGGATCCAGAATCACAGGAGCTGATGAGACACAATCAATAGCTGCTTTTATTCTGATGTTCATAAGTGAACCGTACACAAATTATTGTGAATTATGACACTCATCCTATTGATTAACTCTTTTCCTGCCAGCATTTTTAAAAAAAAGTTGCCAACCAACACCAGCATTTTTGAGGATTTTCACTAAAATTTCATGGCCCCCTAGAATATTTTGTTGTATGAATACCTGAACATGCAATATATCAAAATAAAGAACAGACCCTCTACTTAAAAAAAAAAAAAAAATTATAATAATAAAAACGTTTTATTCTAGCTTCAAGCATTCTTTTTTTAATCATCACTTGAATATAGGTAGGTTTCATAAAAAAAAGCAACGTTTTGAGCAAAAAGCTGAGAAAATCGCATTTTTATCAAATACTACCTCTGGCTCATATTCAGTATTATTATCAAAGCAAAGATGCAGTAGATCACTTCCATCAGCACTCCTTAAGCATGCACAGTCCTTTAACACTTCCTAGATCGCCATTTCACTCGGTAACATTAGGCAGTTTTCATTTATATTCTGTTTATTGTTGATGATCGTATTTTTTTTCATATGCATATGCTTACATATGAGATCGCTCGTTTCTGCATCTTCCTCATTTGTGTTTTTGATCAGCACATTCTAGACTCAGTCAGGGGATGTGTAATAGTGCCCCCGAGCTAGGGTGACCATAAGGGCCATTTTTATGGGACGCACCCTTGCCAGGATTTCTATATTGCCTAAAATATCCAGGTTTTGGCTGTTAGCACTGTGCAGATCGATTGTTGTATGACATTATTTCACGAGAGCTATAGAGAGCAGAGCAGACTGCACCTTATGCTTTCAAATTGCTCTCGCGGTACTTTGGTGTCATACAATTATCGTGCGCAACTTCAAGTCGAACGAACGACCAAACACGTGCTCATATTTGCATCGCTTTGATCGTTCTCACCTTCTCACGCGCGACGCACAACGGTTGGTCGATTATGTACAATACCTGCATGTTATTGGTCAAACTACTTTGGATGTTGTAGACAATATAAAAATCATGGCCAGGACGTGTCCCGTATAAATGGCACATATGGCCACCCTACCCCGAGCGTATGAGAAGCGTGAACGCGGAAAACCGGAAAATTCTGTCTTTGCCTGGGAAAGATTTAAACACATCAGACATTTATCTCTGATCAATGGCAGTGTTGCTAGAGTAAATATTTTCGATTTGCCAATCAATCAAACTGAACTGAGATCTGCTGTATCACTATAACTCAGTGGCACAAAAACGGGGTATGCAGTGCATATGGGGTGCCATTTTGCCAAAATCATTCTGTGAAAATCTTCTTTAATAAAACGTTATAAATAATCAAAAGCTTAGTTATCAGAAATAATGAATGCAACATTTTTATTTAACAGTTTTTAGCATTTTAATGAGTTCAAAAATTTATTTATTAAAAACTTATTAAGATGCGGAACGGCCGTATCTACAACATGCCCTCCTACAACATGCCCTCTAGACCCAATCCCCTCACGCCTTCTCCAAGCAATCGCTCCTACACTCTTACCAGCACTCACACACATCATCAACACATCTCTCCTCACAGGCACCTTCCCCACTGCATTCAAGCAGGCTCGGGTAACCCCACTGCTCAAAAAACCTACATTAAACACTTCTCTTATAGACAGCTACAGACCTGTCTCTCTCCTTCCATTCATAGCGAAAACCCTCAAGCGAGTTGTTTTCAACCAGGTATCACTGTTTCTTTCACAGAACAACAAGCTGGAGGCTAACCAGACAGGTTTCAGGAGTGGCCATTCAACTGAGACTGCTCTACTGTCAGTCATGGAAACCTTGCGGATTGCAAAATCTGATTCCAAATCATCAGTTCTTATTCTGCTGGATCTATCTGCTGCTTTTGACACTGTCAATCATCAGATCCTCCTGTCTGCCCTCTCATCAATGGGTATCACAGAGATTCCACTTCGCTGGTTTGAATCCTATCTCACTGGTAGGTCTTTTAGGGAGGCCTGGGGAGGGGAGGTATGCAAAGCACTTCAACTGGTCACTGGGGTTTCTCAGGGATCAGTTCTTGGACCCCTCCTCTTCTCCATATACACTACATCACTGAGTCCCATCATACAGGCACATGGCTTCTCCTACCATTGCTATGCTGATGACACACAGCTCTATCTCTCATTTCAACCAGATGATCCAACAGTAGCTGCACGGATCTTAGGCTGCCTGGTGTACATCTCGGCATGGATGAAAGAATATCACCTACAGCTCAAC